GCATGGGGAGATCCGCTAACGTGAATGCCTCCGTTGGTTCAATTTCCTCGTTAGTGTCTAGAGAGATGAGTTGCAGCCTTAATCTACCGGCAGTCATTACCTGTGTTCCGCCCATCGTGCTCACCGCCAACGACGTCGCACCTTTAGCCAGTTGGTGTTTGTCGGCAAACCGCCCTTTCACTAAAGTGGTGTCGGATCCACTATCAACGAAAGCCAACGCCTTGACTATCCCAGTCGGAGTCACTACTCCTACGGCCACTACGTCTAAACGTACCGGTTTACTGGCAGATTGCGAAGTTGAACAAATCACGCTGGGCTTGGTACTCGCCTCGGATATGGTTACTGTCGCCTGATGCAGCAGCCGATGGTGTCTGCCCGTGCAGCCCTCGTAACCACATCGATTCCTTGTCCTACAGGCTGTTGCTCGGTTCGTGGTGTTGAGACAGATGAAACATGCTCCTGCCATCCTCGCCATTCCCCACCGCTCGTCTATTGTGGCGTTGTCGAACTTGGGGCATTCTGGTAGGCCATGGCTAGTACCACAGGATCTGCAATTTAGTTGCGCCGTAGCATCTCGTGAAATGACGTGTGTGTTGGTCCAAGGCTGGTACTTTGGATGTTCCCGTACAGGGGTTTGGGCTTGGCTAGTACCGGGCTTGTTTGCTCGGTTGCTTTCCCGGATGAGTCGGCCGAATCTGCTGTCAGCTATCTTCGTTTGCCTATCAAAGTATTCGGTCAGGTCTTCGAAGTTGGTTTCTCTGTCGCTTCGGCTTATCCGTTCAGCTTCTTCCACCCACCGACCCTGAAGTTCGGGAGAGAGGTGACGGACTATGCCCTCCAAGGTTTGCATGGCGTCTAGGTCAGCCCTTTAACCTAAATGGTCGAGGGCTATTGAGCGGTTTTGCATCTTAATCACCAGGTCGGCCATGGTGTAGACGTCACCCTTGGTTCTCTTTGCATCTACCATCACGCCCTCTATTAGGTTACGGGCTACTTTGAAAGGTTGGCCAAACAAGTCCATTAGAATCTTCCTTGCCCTAGTGTAGCCTTGTTCTGGATCGAGCATGGCGCACCCGTCGATAGCTTCTCGCGCTCGGCCTCGGCAGTAGTGAGTAAGGTAGAGAAGCATTTGCTCAGGGTCGGTTACCTTATTTCCGGCGAACGTCTCAAATTTCTTGACAAACTTCCAGTTGTGTTTAGACCGCCCATCGAAAACCGTTAGCTCCACTCTAGGCAGATCGATCGATGGTGGTTTGTGGTCGGCGACCGGCGTGGGGTTCCCTACCTTATTGCATCCTTATCTACCGGAAGTGTCGAAGTCACTGGTCTCATGCTCCCGCTGTTTCTGTGTACACTTCTCCTCTGCTTCCTGCGCCTGTAGTCTAGCCGATAGTAACTGTTGCTCTAGGTCTAGTATTCTCAGCTTATATAAATCAACGTCCTTACGATCAATATTGCTTTCAATAACACATGAACTAGCACTGACAGGACTAGGCGATCTAGCATTAACTAAAGAATCATATGTATCCAAAACCTTCCCAGAGACTTGCCGTATTACTTCCTGTCCGGATTCGACTGCTTTTGATCCTTTTCTTGGCATTTTGCGTGATTTTCCTCGTTCCAAGTTGATCTATTGAGTATTGTAACGAACGTTTGAGCAATGCGTAGCCAAATTCGCAACGGATCCCGAGATCAAAAGACGATTATCCGTGATAATTCTACGATACTAGATTATTACATGAACAATGACATAAACAATATACAAACCTCAATAATACGATCACAAGGACTCAACAACGAGAAACCGAATAGCAGCGTGTGAGCAAACAGCACGTGCGTCACGCAGGTCCTGAGCAAGGATGTGTCAAAGTAGCGCTCTGGGCGCGAAGAAACATCAACTGGTCCAGAATAACAACCAGTTCGTAAAGACAATTCAATAGTGTAAGCAAATGAGTAATGTTGGGAAAAACGCTGAATCGCGAGGGAAAAAGGGGGATTTTCCACGACCGGCTGTTACACGGGGAATGTATGGAGAGAACAGGTGGCTAAGACCGAGGGCACTGACTGCATCGCAGCCGCCGAAACCTGGCTCGGTAATGATATAGAAATAAAAAGTTTTCCGTTAGCAGGGAACCGCGCATATCGGACGGACAGATAGAACAGCGGGGGAAGACGGAGTGCACCTCTTCTGTTTCAGACGTGCACGGGCAAGGAGTATGAGAGGTGACGCCCGCACCAAACACACAGATGGCTTCCAGCTTCCTGAGCTCAGGAACATGAAGGGGACCCTGATGTGTGTCTACAGGTCTCCACTCTCAATCCCTGGCGAAGAGGCACCTCTACTGGAGCTCTTGACCAGGGTGGTCATCCAGACAGCGAGGTTAGTGGCTTTCGGTGATTTCAACTCGCCCGAATTCGATTGGGAGGGGTTGTGGGCATTGCGAGATGGATTCGGAAATCGGTTGATGAAGTTAGTCTGCAGACTCACCTGGTACACCACGTAAACCAGCCAACCCGATGGAGAACAGGCCAGAAACCCAGCCTTCTGGATTTCGTACTCTCGAAAACACCGGTGGGATTCGACCGCCAAGAATAACTGCTCCAAGGGGCAGGAGAGATCATGGGGTGATTAGGTTCCAGTTAAAAGGGAACCCTCAGAGGTCCACCACAAACTAAGGGGGGACTCCTGGAAAGTTGACTGCAAGACACTGAGGATGGCTGCGGACAGTACTCAGCGGCAGCCTTCAAACTCACATTAGAGGACTAGAGGTAGCACTTAAAAGGCTGCTTGATATGGCCCACTGATGAGTTCGCTCCAGTGAGGAGGGTAGGAAGGAGGGGCCCACCACCCTGGTGAGTCCGCAGAGCCGAAAGTGCGCAGACACGTAATCGAGTGGTAAGGCGACTTTTCTGCAAAGCAGTGAAAAATGTCCGCTTTTTGCAGTTCCCGAGGGCGCGCGAAACCTTTCTAGGAGTACAAAGATCCTGTTAGATACCCCACGGGACGAGATAGTTACGAAATGCCAAGAGATGCCCCGGGGCTTATCACGGATATGTGCAGTCTAAGGCTCAGTCACCAGTGGCGATAGGAAATGGTATAGATGGGCGAGGTAAGCATGCAAGCGAGGCCGGCGAAAAAGCTGAAATACCTAAAACATTTTGAGCTGGTACACAAAGCAGATGCCGGTAACCAGCCCTCATTACAAGAACCCTACGGCATTCCCCAAAAGGAAGAAGTTGTTGTAGAACCCGTGGAAGTGGACTTGGCTCCCAACTGGTTAAAGCGAAATGGGGCCGCCGGCTCAGACAGGATTCACCCCACGGTTCTACCTCTGTTGGCAAGCGTAGTATCCGGGGCTCTAGCGCACTTGTTCACCAGGTCACTAGCCCCGGCCACGTCGCCTTTTGACTGACTGAAAACCGAATTGCCGCCCGTCAACAGGGGAGGGAAGAAAGAACATGCATCTAACTACACGCCCGTTAGTCTGCTGTCCGTGGTACCAAGATGCACTTGAGGGCACCGTTAGAGGCAGGACCACGAGGCATGTTGAATACTACAAGATGAATACTGTGAAACTGCACGGATTCGTGAAGAGGAATTCGTGTCTCATGGACCTCTTCTCATTTCTGGATGAAGGGACCGGTAGACTGGACAAAGGCGAGCGAGTTGAAGGGTGTTATCTGAATTTCCAGAAGGCCTTCGACCCGGTAAACCACGGACAGCTGGTGGACATAATGCAGAGCATAATGATTGCATAAGGGACGCTGAACTAATTAGAGCATACCCCACTCGTATGACGTCCCACGTTCGGGTTGAGGATGCAACATCCAGCACTGCCAGGGCATGCAATGGGCTGCCGCAAGGGTCGTTGTTCGGGCTCCTGTTGTTCTTGATCATAATAAATGACCTGGTGGAAACCTTGAGGTGTCCTGGTTTCCTCTTCGCGGGTGATCTGAAGATTGTGAACTAGATGCAGGAAGACCTTATAAGAATACGAGAGGGGACGAAAACACGGGAGCTCCCTTCAAACCGGGGTAAGCGCAGACAGCCACCCCATGGTGGGGGAGCGGGAGGGACTCGGCACTTCAACGAAGGAGCACATGGGATAATCGAGGCCAATGAAGTCATAAAAGGTCTTGGCTTTCAAGTGCACGAAACCTTTAAGTCCATCAAGCAGTGCCTTGAAGCTGCGGCGAAAGGTGATAGGTCTATGTTTCAACTGTGTCCGACTGTCAGGTCTCGGGAAGCGGAAATATTATTGATACTTTACAAAACCCATTTACGTCCACATCTGGACTACTGCGTCCAGGCCTGGGTGCCGGAACTAGACGAGGACAAACAGCTGCTGGAATAAGGGTTTTCCCGGACTATGATTAGCTAAACGAGCATACACTCAGGTTACACCTCTCTCTTCCATTCCCTTCTTTTCTAAGACTCAATACACGTTTGCACGTCAAGCCATAAAATACTGCAAACTGCGACCATTTTTATTCGTTCAGTAGTCCTCACAGGGGATTCACGAGGGTAAGCATGGCAGCTAGTAGAGACAAGAAGAGAGAACCTGCTTTTCATTCTTTTCCTCGCAGCCCCCCACCCAAAGGTCACAACATTCGGACCATTTGGCAGTCTAAGCACCGTGGGAACATTGCAGCCATCGAGTGCGAGAACCAGGAAATGCACTGGTCACAGCCACAAGCCCTGTGACCTGATCTGATCTGATCTGGTTTGACCTGGCCTGACTCTTTGTTTCCACCTTTCTCCTCCAGGGTTGATACTGGACAAACTTTCTTCCTTTCAGAGAAAGAAAGGCACACCGTTTTTGGAGCTACGGGAACTCGCCGACGACACGATTTTCTGGACTTACCTTTGGCTCTAGCCACACAAAGTCCCGTGAAAACTGAACTGAATGTCGTGAACTGATGACCTTGAGAGTTTTGCTCACCCTCTTAAGTGTGACACGTGTTTTCGTGCGAATGGACGGTGTTCTTGGAAGAGAGCGATGAATGAGGTAATCGCACAATTCTATGATTTTCATAAACCACGTTCAGAAACCTTGTATAAACGAGAAACCAATAGGAGAAGTTTATGAAGTTCTACAGAAAATTGGGGAGTGCGTCTCACAAACTTGTGCAAAAAGGACTAATCCTTTTATAAACAATCTTTTAGTGGTCATTTCGCGGAAGTGAATTTGTGTGTATGCAGGAAATCAAAAAAGGAGTTCGCGGCAAAGTTTATTCTGAAGCAGAGATTTAATTCCTCTACCGTTGGGAAGGAGATCAAAGGTTCCCTTCCAGCGGATATTGGTCGTGAGGCTTTCATTCTGGCTAACCTCAAACACGAAAACATCGTGAAGCTGCATGAAGTTTTTCATTGTAACGATGCGGTCGTTCTCATATTAGATCTGTAAGTTTAAGCCGTCAGGACCATGCATGGTCCATGTTTCCGAGTTGATAGCCGTTGACTACCGTCACGCAATACCAATTTTTTGCCTCATTGGGATTGGTCTGGATGTATGTTAGAAATATCAAGAAGTCGGTGAGTTCAGTGTTGATTTGTTGACAGGTTATTTTCCAGTTAAATTCGAAACTGTAATGAAAACCGCGGTAAAATTCAGGGGGAGGGGTACAAGGACAAAGTAAATTGCAGCTTACTCTGACAGTGCCCTTCCTAGGTTTATTGGGGGCACTCGGTGGTTGCGTCAAGGGACACTCAGAGAATTTCCATGGGATGGTCAAGGGGGCACTCCTTTTGCTTGAGCTCCAATATATATATATATATATATATATATATATATATATATATATATATATATATATGATCATGTGTAAAATTTGCAAGCCATGGAAGTCGTAAATTTTCTATTCTTGCTAATCCAGATTTTATCTTCTCAAGCGGCGCAGGTGTATTCTGAACGTGATCTGTGAGTCTTCTGTGTGTTTATTCGGCGATTTCACTGACTGAACCCCAATGAAATAAGGAAAAGCGCACTCAAGAGGTGGTCAGCTGTGAACCAGAAAATTTGCTTGGATCCTAATTTAGTTGTATAATTCCACAGTAAATCTAAGTTACTTTGCTGTTTACCGAGAAGAATACACGTTCATATTTGTTGGTACTATTTTATTTAAATTCATTAGGCTTAAGCATCTAAAAAGAGCCCGAGCACATCAGCTGTGATTGGTGACCATTTATTAAAAGTATGATTGGTAATCACCAAATAACAATAAGACTTATCTTTATTATGTAACCGCGCAACCAGGTCATGGTTTAAGAACCCTTTTCGGGTTCATTACTAACAACCCCTGTAATATACCTTTGCACGCCACTCGATAGTACGGTCAGGGGCCTCGTAGGGGATACTCAGGGGGATACAAATGCGGCCGGGGCCTTCCCTGAAACAGGAAGTGTTATTTATTGAATTAACGACAGGTTTTTGAGTTCTGTCTGTAGAAGAACTACTCAGGGGTAAATTATTTTGTTGATGAAGGTTGGAAGGTAGTTAAAAGTGTCCCTTTGGGTCGATCACTATTATACTTTATAAAGCAAGACTTAATTCATATTGAGGGTTTCTCTGTTATTTTAAGTATTAGGCCAGTGTTTCAAATGCCCACGAGGCAAAATGGCCACTACTTACAAAACCAAACTGGGGGGGGGGGCGCCGAGTGTTCCATGTGCTGCCTGGATTTCTTTATCTTCTTTTATTCGTTTTGCGGCATTATGACATGCATCAAAGATTTTCGATCATTGATAGTGCGACGGCTGGATTTTGTTCCAACGGTAATTAAGCAAGCCTTTCAGTCTTCTGGACTGAATGCTCTGGGACTTTTACCATGTAAGTCCCGTCACCATCAGCTTCAGTCTGGGGGGCTCTGATGTCGCTGGTGTACCACGTCAGCTGGAAGCGAGTTCTACAATCGCCACCTTCTTGGATACAAAGTAGTCCTGTCAACTGCAGCTTCTTAGGTATTGCTGAATGCCCTGTCGAGCTTTATTGCTTCCAAAACAGAAATTCTTCTTGCAGTCCAGTGATAAATGTTGTAAACAACCGAGTTGGTATAATTCTAGATGAAACTGGGGGGAAAAAGCAAACGGGACTGTCCAAAATTCAAAACGATCTGAGCCACTGAACAAAAATCGTAAGGTACGATCTTGAACGCACGGTTTAATGTTAAGGAATAGGGTCGGAAATAGGTCAGTATCTATAATGCCACGTTGCGGCAAGTGCTAGTCCAAGCCTCTTACATTCTTACATTTTTGGCTTCACGTGTTTCTATATGCAAGAGTTTAATATTCGATAAAATCGTTTCTGGAAACGTTGTTGGCCAGTGGACGTTTCGGTTTTTGTTGGTACTCTTTCTTGAGACCGGTTTACAGTTGTATGACTCTATTGGTGTTGATCTGAAGTAGTTTTGCAGAATCATGATTTTCATAAGTTGGAGTGTTGTTATATGGGAAGAAACACCTTAATGGTTAATATGTAGGTTGTATTTACATTTTTTTGCCAAGAAACATCGTCTATTCACGTGTAGTAATTGAAATTTGTTTGATAATGCTAATTGAGAATGCATTTACTTTGACAGTTCTAATCCATAGTTTTCCTCCCACCTCCATTTCTTAGGCAAAGCGTTCAAATCCACCTATACAGATCTTCAAGTTCAAATCTAACATCATCCTTTTAATTGTTTCGCATAAACCTCTTCACGTATATAAATCCCTGTTGGTTTGTTTTGAACCTTTGGTCTCTCCCTGTGCTTGCCACCTGCAAGTGGCTTAAAAAACACCATTTTGTATTTTTAACTATCTAACATACCAACAGGAATTCGCTTGGTGATTTGCTTCTCAGAGCATTTGCATTTTTGATGAGTTTCTAGGCAAAGTAACAAATTTACAAAAGATATTGAAATGGCCTTCATCCAGGTACCCGAGTATTTACGGTTTAAACCTGTCCAAGAAAATCCCGAACTGTATGTTTGACCAAATGTTATGATGAACCGCTAGTTTATCCGCAATACCGCCTAATAAGGAATATCTAGAAAGCTTGCTTAGTGTAGATTGTGCGCCAGTATTTCGAAAGGTTACCTCGGGGAAATCCAATCCACAAACATTTTGCGTAAAGGAGGCACATCCTTTATCGGTGAGTTCGATGTTGATGTAGAACAACGTAGAGTCAAGAACTACTAGGTGAATCACATCATGTTCGGTGAAACCAATGTGGATACTGCGCAGTTTTACGAAAACGGCAACGACAGTGGCCCAGTTTATAAAAGTAATTTCGGAATTCATGCACGTTGGTCCTGTGATCAAGTCCAGAATGCCTTGATCTATGAAAGACAAATCTCGATGATAAACGGAAAAGCCTCAATAATCTTCTTTGGCAAAGCTGACTAAAAGGATTGCAAAAAAGCTATTGTATCACAAAGCAGGAGACTGTTATTCAGAAACCATATAAGATTATATGTTGTAGATCATGAGTAGGTGGTCCTGAATGTTTCATTGACGGTGCCATTTTACCAAAGTTCCAGAAATTGCATAATAACAGTAACATATAAAAGACAGTGAAAAAGTTTTAATTATATTCGCAGTATGTCCCAGTGGTAGCATCAGAGGATGTTTCAGTGACCACGGGCAACTGATGATGGGCATTGTGTGGTATGTATTTTTAAAGTACGAGCAGACTAGAGTTTCCGCATCTTTCCTATTTGATTTCTTTCACCACCCCACCGAGAATTATCCTGGGATTAAGAACTTCAGAATTATTTAAAATTGTCACCACTAAGTAAAAACTCCAAATTGTAGCTATGTTTATGAGAGATTATTTTTTTAGTTACGATGTTTCTGACACATTTATTACCTTCAGCTTTAAGGTTTACTCTTTGGCAGAACTGATGTTTGATTGCGTGCATGAGCGTGAGTGAATTTGGAGAAATGTGACTATAAATTCAAGGGCCCAGTGCACAAAATAGTGATCTAGAGGCTCTGAGTGAAGAACCACGGAAAATTCTTGTAGGTCATATGCCGTCAAGAGCCATCAATTTGGCCGGAGATGTTGGCGTTCAAACGTCCGATTTCTGAGGTAACGAACGCATATATTACTCGGACTCTACCATCGTACTGCAGCGTCGTAACCGTCCTTCACGAAAAAGTGGTGGCGTTTCAGGTCTTGATTTTTATTCAGAGAGTGAATCTTCATCAGAGCTTTGAAAGTCCAAAGCAGTATCCCTTATGACAAATTTAAGAAACAGAATTGATTTGGGACTTTGGACTGCTCCTAATGACTTAATAAGGAAAGTGTGCTAATTATTCACGGATGCTCTCTCATGCCTGATGATTTGATACTATTTATGTAAATGGCAGGAAAATAAAAGTTAAAGTGCATTGCATTTGTGGTCCTATGGAAGTTTGCCCCAGCACGTTTTTTAACGCTTCCATCGATTAAAGTGGAGAAATGCGGCTATAGCCAGAGTCCCATTCTATTTCTGTTTATTTGTGAGAATACAAGCGTTGCGGAGTCTCAGATAAGGATCTCCAGGCAAGGAGGTGATACATTTATGCATTTCTAGAGCAAAGAAAAAACCTGCGCAAGAGTAAGATAAAAAGTTTGATTGGTTTGGTAAGGTCATTGGTGATTTTCATTCCGATTAGTTAGGGTGGCTGTAGATACCGTCTCCTAATAAGTAATATTATACTTGATTGGTTAGCTACAACACAGCACGTTAGGGTGATCTTGCAACTAGAAATAAAGCCTCATAAAAAATGAAAGCAACCTTGTCCTTGTTTCGGTACAAAATCTAAGACTGTCAAAATAAGTGCTTCGTTCCACCAAGAGTTTAGCAATTGTCAAAGGCCGTTCCCGTTTTCATGATCATCACTATTAAAATCGTTCTTTCATCAGCCGTTCACCGAACTACTAAACTTTTGTAATAACAGTATCAGTCCTTCATCGGTGTGTCAAATAAAGGTCTTTTTCACATCAATCATGATACAGCCACACTGATTATAATAAATGAGTGCAAAAATAAGACACACAAAACGGTAACAAGCTTAGATTTATCCATATTGTTTTGGAGGCACTTATCTTTTATTAGTTCATCGGGCTATAAGATGTCTTTGGCAAATCGTGTTCCTTAATGGCAAGACTAATCAATACATCTACCCGAGGGCGCAGGTTTTACAGTCCACTTAAGGACAACACGATTACAGGCGCAATCTTTGTTGGTTTAATCCGGCGTGAAAAAATTTCTTTCAATAAAACAAAGGCCCTAATTCGATCTACCCTCATTTAATTACACGAAGCACTTAAGCTGTATTTTTCTGGGGAAATGGGCAGTCTCTTTGCTTCAGTGAATAACGTATGATTTGGAGTTAAAGTGGAACATCAATGGGCCAATACTGACAATACATTACAGAATTTTACTTATGGGAGAAATCGTTAGTTTATAAAAGCACCACGTTTATCTGGTAACTGAATGACTCATCAGAGTTTGAGATTATGGTCCACTTCTTGAAACCTTGTTAGATTGTTATCATGCCAGCATGTATGTTTGTGTCTCATGCTATCCAAATATTTGCTGTAAGAATCGCCATTCAGAAAACAATAAGCTCTTTATTTTCAGCATTTCATAGGAGGTTCTGGCTAGTGGTCGCAAGGAAGACTGGTGGATGAACCATATCCCTAATATAATTGGTGAAAAGTTCAACCATTCAAACTCGATTTATTTCTCCCTTTCACATTCACTTCGATAACTTTCATCCGTTGGATTTTTAAGATGACTGCTGGGGCACATTCAGGTTGATAAAGTAAATCATTGTAGATTGGTTACTTAGACAGCAAATATAATCAGCTCACAAAGTGCGGAAATTTAAGTTGCTAGGTGAAAGTGATATTGGCGATTTCGGCCATGTGCAAATTGCTGGCTCTGGTTCAGAAGATCTATGCATTTAGTGGTTTGGGAGGCTAAATGACTCTTGTATTCACACACATTCCTATGTACTTTATACCGTTATTTACAGTAATACCGGTGCTTTTCAAACTTTTGATTATTATGACTTACAAGTGAGTTTCTCGCTCAGTGACTGCAATTGAAGTTGACGCAACTAGTTTTTTTATTGTTGATATATTAAGCTGGACCGAAACGAAAGTTTTTAGGCTCAAAACTTTCACACATCGAGTGATCCTTTTGGTGCGTCTTTATACTTAGAGGCCATGGTATTGATAATGTAATGGCAAGAACAGAGTACTATATATTTTTGCAAGGTATAATATCCTGGAACTATGTTACATGCTGGTTTCTGTTACAGGCAAAACCCTTATATATTTGGTGTTAAGATGAGACAATTTCATGCACGAGCAACATCATCTTGTTGGCGTCTTCTCTCGCTGTGAATTCCCTGTCATAAATACCAACAAGCATTCTAAGCTTTGATCTGAATAAAAATGCTAATTTTTAACTTAGGAATAGTGTGCCGGTACTGGCAGGATCACCACTCTTTTTCCCGTTCGCGTCATTAGTTTGATGCTTTTACGTTTGTGGGAACCACTTAAATGAGTATCTTTCTGATTCGTGGGCAATTTCAGGGAGTGGACGGTTAACAATTGTCTTAGGATAGTTGTTCAAACCATCTTGAAATCAGTGGACGAATTAAGATAGCGCTTCATACCAGAGTATTAGCGGATAAAGAAACCGCCTGTGCCACCTACAAGTATTTCTTCAGTTTAGTACCCGTTGGCAGTCGGTTAATAATCATCGTCTGTTATTTAGCGACCACAACCTAGGGTATTGTAACCAAACCTTTCCGACACACCCATACCTAATAAGTTCAAACCACGTGTGGATTATCGTCCCGGCTACGGGACTTGGTGTCCTTGCAAGGGATACGAACTGGAATACGCAGGTCCTACCAAAAAATCTCTGAGCTTTCTAATAACAATGTTTTCGCATCGGAGAAAATAAGGTTTACAAACTGGAAGAATTTTTTGAAGGTTCATTAAATGTGAAACAGTGCCTGTCAAATACAGCAGATGACAAGGGCAAAATTCGAATTATTCCTTGTTTGCAAAATTGCACCAACATACCGAACCTGCTCCTTAGTGGTTTATTCTTCCGGAACCCTGTGAATCAGGGCTGAGTTTTCTTGTAGAAGTTGCTTTAAGCACAATGGAGACCTCCTCGATCGGAATAAAGGATGGCCTGTGGGGAAGGGGAAACCGAACAGCAAATCCAGTTGCCAGCATTGCTTCACCCAACCTCCTGTGAACTGGAGCATTTGCGAACAGAAATACGTTATCAGTGTTTCGTCGCTCAGTAAATGCTTTCAAGGAACACTTTTTCTGAAAGCTGATAGAAATGTTGGCTGTCCCATCCTTTTCTTTATTCCATTCAAGGTGATTGTAGGATTCTCCTCTACCAATGAGCACAATTCCGCTACAAATTCATCTGAAAATTTACGCCAAGGCTAGACTCTGTGTCTCGTTTGAAGATGGCTCTGCAGGTTTTCGTGTTATTTCCAAGACGGTAGGAAAGATGTTCTGTATCTTCACCTTTCATTGTACACTGGACAAATCTCCTGTGGTCTTGATAATTAACTATTTCCTGCTTACGACTCGAATCAGTATTCACCTATTCGTTTAATTTAATTACCTCAGTTTCCTGCGCTGGGCACTTTGCGGATTTTGAGGCACTCATTCAGCTGGTGGCTTGAAAAATGATAATGATCAAATGTGCACCACGAACACAGCCATTCACATGACTCATACAAGGCCACAAAGTCCCGAAGCCGGGAACGATAATTCACGCGTGGTTTGAACTTATTGGCTATGGGTGTGTCGGAAAGGTTTGGTTTCAATACCCTAGGTTGTGGTCGTTAAATAACAGACAATGGTTACTAAACGATCCCCAGGAGCCGCCACATGACAAAAAACCTGTGGAATAGGCTCTTCAGTGAAGCAGTCAGAAACCGCGTCGATGATGCACAGTGTTGCATCAAACCGGCTGCATTTTCAAAGTTTATAGTCTGTCAGACAAAGCTTCCTTGAAAAAGAATGCAACGAATTATTTTCAGAATGAACCTGTGAATCTATAGGATCTGTCTGGGAATAATTATTGCCGAAAAATAGGAGTGAAAACTTGGAGAAAGTTTATGTGAATGCAATGCGGAAAATCCATCCATCCATCAACCCACTCAATCCCCAACCAACCTCCGAACCACACAAACACTTATCCTTCCATCCATCCTTCCATCCATCTATTCATCTATTGCTCTGTGTTTTTACAATGAACTGAGCTTTATGGTAAGTGACAAACAAGGTGCTGATGCGCGAGTTTTGGCAGTCTGGGCAGCCGAGTTAACTATTTTTGCATTCTCCTTCCCTTCCGAATTTTACTGCCAAGCATGACTTCGTAATTACCTAGAGGGGATACCACAACCCTTTTTAATTTCAAAAAATGACAAGCTATTTCGAAAGTGATGGGCATTTGGTGTGTTATGGAAGAAAATTTTCTGCGTGCTTTCCGCCTTCAGGTTTCTGAACTAAGAAATCTGATGAACGTTTAGTGCGTGTATGTTTCTTTGGAGTACGATGGTTTTTCTATGATGACGGAAAGAGTGATGTTTGAAATATCACGCTGAATTAGCGCTGATCACCAACATAATTATACTTGTCATTAACGAATACCGAGCTAAATGAATGACTCCTTACAGGATGTTACCCTTTCTTCTTTCAGTTTATTGTTCTGTGACCTGTGAGTGGTTTGTCTAAAAGTGAATTTCGTAATGGAATTAAGTGGGGAAGTAATATCCGCTGTGATCAATGAATATCTTCTCCATCCCTAGAGCTTCGTTCATTCACAGGTTCCATTTTGATATACTGTTTGTCTTGAGCTTTTAAAACAATCCCTTGGAAAGATTCTTTCATGCAATAATTTTTCTTATTATTAGAAAAGTTATGCAGAAACTTTCTCTTGCGAATTAAAATAATTGATAATCTCGTATTGTTTGGGAAACACTAATTGAACGAAGCAGCCAGTCTCCCAGAAACTGAACGTGAGTTTTCACCAGGGTCATTTTGGTAGAGGATTTAATATACTCATTAAGTTACCTTTGCACAACGTAGTTGGTGGCCTGTTTGAGTTGTCTGAAAAATCCCGCAAAGCACACTCGAAAACACAGTTTGGTCAACTTGTGATTTGTAAGTTTACTGTATAGGATTTTCAGAATTGGTAATATTAAATTTGCCATAGTTGTTCGCCGATGAACTCGCTGGCCGGTAAATTCGTTGCTGAGATTTTGGGTATCCAAAATTGGTATAAACTACTATGACAGGTGGATCGACTTAAAAATGGCTGTTTTTTTGAAATGATGATAATTCACATCTGATTTCTGATAACAGGTCCACTCACTCACCTCTTACAGTAACATTGGGAGTTGAAATGCAAATCGTATACGTACAAGGTAGCATGCCTTGTCAAAGTGAGAACTCAGTTTGAGAAAAAATGCCGGTGGGAGGGGGTTCCAAATATCACAGTTATTCTTCTTAGTGAAATATTATCCGTAAAATGTTCCAATTTTTCTGGTTCCCTTAAATGAGTATGCTGTTTTATTTGAGTCTTTTATTCATTGTAGTTTGCAAAGGATCGGCATGCTTCCGCGGGGGTTGTTTATGTTCGATGTGCAAAAACCAAAGTAAAGAAAACTCCATGAGCCCAAGGCTCAGCAAGCGCGTCAACAAGATCCTACACTCACATTAACCGAACACCAATAGGACTGCCAGCAGCCTGCTCATTACATTATTTGGTACATAGAAAAGGGCAAGCTTTATATTTTAAACAGGAGTCAATACTGAAATCAGGGATAAATATGAATAATAAATTGCTGCTAAGTATAAAACGCACTTTATTATTATTATTAGCACTAGTAATAATAATAACATTTTCAGCTACCAATGCGCGGCTGCAAGGTTACCACGAGAGTATTCATTTGTTTCCATTGGTTATTTTGTTCACGACTCTAGTGTAACCGGCGGTGAGTTGTTTGCTCGAGTTGCAGAGTGCGAGCGGTTATCTGAAGAAGAAGCTTCCAATTTCGTTGAACAGATACTTCTTGGAATTCAGCATATGCATTCTTTGGGTGTCGTTCACCTGGATCTAAAAGTGAGTAATTCGTTACAATTGAAATTGTGAAACTAACGTTCTGCCATGATACTTTATGAAAAACGCAGGCGGGAGGCAATGATCTATCTCTGAGGGTCCAATCGTTGCTGCTAAAGATTACGTGAATCGACGTAGCCGGTATTTATCAGGATTGATAGTGGAGGTTTCTTGGTTCACTAGAAACTGATTCATTTTTAATCGACCGGAAAGGTACTCAAACTGAGATGGATAATGAACATGAAACACACCACGATTTGGAACTGGAAAAGGTTGACAGAGACATATAAATTGGAAAATGCTCTCTTTTCAAACTTGCCCATGCAGACAATAAGGTATACTATAAAATCGGTCGTTTTTGCTAATAACCATTACGGGGTGAGGCAAATAAACGTCATTTAGAATGGATAAGATAATTCTTCTTACACATAAAATGCTACGAGGCCTGACGTTCCTCCTGTTTATCAAACTACGTATTCGAGTGTACGTAACTCCTACCTGATAGCTTTGAGACAAAGTCTTAGATTGTCTTTTCGGTTGCAAAGTACGTTATTTACTGTATAATACATCTCTTTTTAACTTATTGTGAAAGTAAGCAGACTCAGACGGGATGAATAGTCTCACAGTAACCAATACAATTTTCGTGTCTTCGAAGGCGAGTTTGAAGTGAAAAACCATTGTTTGTCTATTCACAGATAAAGCATTGCGACAATAAGGACTGCAAGTATACTGGCCTGACAAACCTTCGGTTTTCATTTGAATAAATTTCCATGATACAAATTCTGAATCATAATCCGTCTCATTCACCACAGTATTACTCAATTTAGCAAGAGTGTTAGTTTGACAAATGTAAAACACTCCATTCAAAACATGTACAATTATGATTCTAGCCCGAAAATATCATGATTGAGGACTTGGCCTCTCGGAAAATAAAAATTATCGATTTTGGCCTCGCGAGAGTTTTAAATCCAAACGAAACATTCCAAGACATGGCAGGTACTCCGGAATTTTGTGGTAAGTTTCTTAGGAGTGCCCCTTTTAAAAGTATTCCTTATTTTTCATGGTGTATTCTCTTCATTTTCAGTGATACTTTTACCTCTATTGTCAGGATCATCATGCCTTTTATCTGCAGGGTTTTTATTACTTGCAAAAAGTAGCTGGTTTTATACTGTAAATTTTTACAATGCAATAAGCCTCAAGGCTGCGTATAGTGCTAGGGTGGACATAAAAATCGGGATACAGGCAATCGTTTCATGCGTGCACATTTAATAAAATCATGAGATTCTTGATACGTTTGTAAACGTTTGTCGTCGGGCCTAATCGTGAAATAGGCACATGAGAAAGAAAAATCACGTTCTCTTCGATTAGTTATCTCCTTAGAGGTGCGTTTGCTTCCGCTTTTATTTGCGGGTTAGCAAGACAACATTTGCAACGGGAGCTTTGACACATAGCTTTTGATCTCGAACTACAAACTGCTCAATACCAGAGGATGTAAAGTTCCGAAATCTGTTTAAGTTCACTAGTGTTCAAGAATAACTTTAATCGCATTATATCATCAAAAAGCTCATTAAACGCCTGCAAATGACAAAAAAGAGTTTTATTCTTCACTTCGTGCTCACTTGTAAGTGTGGCGAAAGAGGAAAAAAGTACAACTAGAAAGACTTACTGCACCATCAAGAAAAACAGACAATGAGGACCACCCGAACACACAAGACCCCTATATGCCATCATTCTGATTGATCACTGACACAACTGATAAGGAATTTGCTCTTAAGGTTAGAGGCCGCGAAAACCCTAAGCTATTTGTTTGTATTTAAACTGTAAGTTATAGCAAAGCCAATTATTTTTAAAAATCGACAGCGCTGAAGTGGTGGTCGAGTGGTTCAGAGCATTTCATTGTCATTTAGGAGGTCAGAGGTTCGTGTCCCCGCCATCACCGGCTTCTTTGACGGTAGACATTCAGCCACTGTCGTCCGGCTCGTCAACAAACCTGAACTTTCAAAGTCTTATGTGGTTATCCACTCTAAGTCTCAGGGTCTGGTTGCCGGTTATCCCAGATGGTGCTGTGGGCCTTCATGGCTATGATGGATACCCCTTTCTTTGCACTCGTGAGCAAGCATGCAATACAACTTTGCAGCTAACGTATTGTTACTCATGGTGTTCGCATACTCACATATGCATGTGTTTATACCCAGAGATGGGAACTGGAAACAGCTATGTTATAACTCTGACTTGGAACGTCATAGAAGTCACTGACTGAGACATGTGCTGGGCAAGGCGTAATACAATCTGATGGAACACACTTTGTTCGCGATTCCTTCGTCTATATAAAGGAAACCATGGGAGGCTAACAAGTTTCTTGGAAAGAGACATATTGAGGCGCATTGAAAGATCATGGTGAGAAGGCTTTTCGTACCCTCCTGTCCGGGTTTAAAAGATTCCATCATCAGGTACTTGACAGTGAGTGATGAACAGTGGTGATTTATCGATGTTGAATTTAAGTTCAGGGCAACAGTGGTTTTCAGAAATTGACAATCATGCCGACAAATAATTAATATGACGTAAAACTCAGGAGATTGAAAGATGGGTAACGACATTTTTCAATCGGTATGTTTGTGTATGATCTACCGTGAAGCGAAGTGAAATGAAGTGAGGTAGAGAAATTACTAGTGTGCACGAAGGGTCGGATCCACGTAGTCATACAAAGGTCAGAGTGAAATTCTTTCGTTATTTCTGCTCATTCCAGAGTTCATACGCTTTTCACCTGAAACATTAGTCATTCGTTTATGCCGTTGGTAAGCAGTATCGCTTTCAGGGAAGTAAGCTTCCCTGTTTCTCAATATACTATGTTGATCATATTGAATGATGTTTATTCGTGTCAAGGCGTCCAATATTTTGCTGTGATTTGATCTTGCTGGTGGGAGGTGGATTCAGCTTTTGGCGCACATTGTTCGAAACTTAACAATTTTCACGTAACTTTTGACGGCCTATTTTGGGGTAATATGATAAAGCTATGGTGAACGTTTTTGCCCAGACTACATAGGTACTTTCTTCCAGCTAATTTATACACGTCGGACTCTCTTCTTGTGTAATTCTTTAATATTTCTCCAATACTCCGATTTGACGATAAATCACCGTGACCTGTGCCAGTGAGTTCATACGGAGGAAGAACTTTAGGATCGTTCAACCCCGTAGGTTTGTGTTATCCAATTCAATTTTCACCGAGGTCGTACATGGATGAAGTTTGCCTGTGTGGCATTATTGAAAGCTACTTTTTGGAGACAACCGTAAGGCGAAATGTCAGCCAAACCAGATATTATGGCGAATGATGGAAGAATTCTAGAAAATATATTACCACTTTTAGAAAATGCGGGTGAATTTTCCGTTATATAAGGTTTAGGCTTGTCGTGTCAATTATACATTCTACAAACTTTTAGAATTCTTCCGATTGACAATGTTACCACTGTACTGGGATCACCTTCCTAACTGTGGACGTTCCAGTGATGTTTGATGGAAAGAAGAGGCATTGAAAGAACATTTGTAACTGTCACAGATAACTGATTATTAGTTATCCTCTTTAACAGGGTTTATCTGTCCAGATTTTGGTGTAATTTTTAATTTTCCTCAAACGGCAGCTAGAAAAACAAAAACGCAGAGAAAACAAAAGAAAACCGAGTGGGATGAAAAGAATATTTTTAGAGAGAGTAAAGCAAGTGAAATATTTTAACACAGGCGAGCAGCCACGAGTCATCACGATTTATCACTTAACTTTTGTCTTCAGCCTTTTGATAGGTGGTTATACAATCACTTTTAATCTACCCTCGGTTACTCCAAAAAATATATTAGTTCTTAGCAAGAAGCCTGAGAATAAAACTAGCTATGAAGATAAGAATAATTTTTCTGTGATTAGGTGTGTTACTATTCTGCCACCATCTTTCATACATACAGTGAAACCCTAATAGAAGAAACTTACGGCAAAGACCAAAATGTCCTTAAGAGTGGGGTTTCTTTTGTATAGAGGTTTTACGTGCCTTTCTCAATATAATGCAGGTAACTATCACAAATCAACCTCCCATTATGCGAAGTAAAAATGCAGCAGTGCAGTTGGGAAGGTTGGTGTATGTGAACTTTGGAATGGCTGTTGTACAAACTGCGCTATATTTGCGTAATGTACGGCAACACATTATAGTCAGAGTACATTGTATACAAAGGTATATCTTCGGCAAACCTGATTACTTAGTTAAGTTTTGGGGAGACCATCTTGGATCTTTCCTGCCTTTGTACCATTGCTGGCTCTTCACAGCAGGCAACTGCATCATCTTAAAACACCCGTAGGCAGTAGAAAGAAACCTCATCTTACCCATAACGATATAGTCTTCAAAGGTTTGGTCAAGCAAAAGCAAAATTCTAATGTCATCTCCCACCTCAAAATGCTTTCATTGCTTGTGAGATGCATCCCGATAAGACCACGCCAGTGAAAACTTGACTGGACTAAACTATGAGGAGCACTATCCCAGGTCGCGTTAATCCGAACCATGAGGGTTATAGCAGAATCTGAATCTCGCCTTTCAGCAGTTAATGTCAGCCACACTGTTGAATCCCACTTCACATCTGTCGCCTTCTCCTGAAAGTGTTCCAGAAATGACTATATTTCTAGCACGGAAGTGGAGCAACCAGCAGTAGGTTTCAGAGTTTACCATCTCGTATTTACTGTGGCTTGTCGCGGTTGTCTTTCTGTCTTCACGAGTTTCACTCTTCTAGAGGCTCATGATTTCATTCTGATTAACCAAAACACTGAGTTTGAGACAGACTGACGTGTACCTGCTTTGCACTATATCCTATTGATGAAGCGCTTCCCTTCATTTGAATGGCTCTGACCTTCCCGTCCAAAGTGAGAACAAATTTCTTTTTGCAACTGAGTAGTAGGAGAATAGATTTGTATAATATGATTCATCATGCAGCTTCAACGCTCAACTGACCATTGAAAACCATGGAAGCACTGTACAGCTGTTTCATCCTCCTTGGGAATCATCAGCAGTGCACATCCACCGAGCCCCCACGGGGACTCGAACCCGGGCCTTGTGGTTAAGGTGTTCGATTCACAATCGTTCACCCCGGGTTCGAGTCCCCGTGGGGGCTCGGTGGATGTGCACTGCTGATGATTCCCAAGGAGGATGAAACAGCTGTTTTCAATGGTCAGTTGAGCTTTCAGGCTACAAGATGAATCATATTATACAAATTTCTTTTTGTTCCATCGCCATCAGTGCCAACTTTGTTTACTCGTGCTTATCGGTCCCGAATATGAAATTGTCGACAACTGTTTGAATTAAATCTTCTTCTCTACCCTTTTTAGTGTTTTGAAATCGTGTAAACTTTACCCTGCCTTTAAGAACTGCTTTTTTTAGCTTCTATAATCATTCAGTGTTGGAGTTTGATAAATTCTAAAACAGTAGTAATATTACTTTTGTTGAGAGTTTCTTGTTGGTACCCCGCATGTTCGACACTTTGTGAGTATGATATGAGTATGATAATTTGGGTTCAAGTAATGAAGGTCAAAAACGATTCACTTTTTAAGGCTTTGTTTAAAAATTCTTATATCTTATGCACGGTCTCTTTTGCTCTTCACAGAAGCGGGCGGGCTCAGAGAAAGAGCCAATAAATTAACTATCACCCTCTTATTGGGATATTATCTTGGCTAAGATGGGCTGAAAAGTGCATTTCTGGACACCAAACCGTTTTTCAATAGGACGTGAAGATTAAGAATGATAGGAAGTTTGAGGTACTTCTTTGGTATGACTATTCTTACACCTACAGCATCAGAGTGGTCTGTCAAAAAAATATCCTGGCAATCGTGTCGAAACTGAAAAGCTGATGTGGCAGATGAGATTCGCAGTTCCGAACAAACTGAGTGTTGCATCCAAAAACAAATAAAATACCTACTTGACCTCATTTCTACATAGATAAATTTATGGATAAAAATTATTTTATGGAATCAGAAACACGGACTAGTCTGC